CGTTTGCTAATCCCCACCCCTGTTCAGTGATATCTTAACATTTTTCCACATGAAGCAGTGTACATGGGGCTATAGTAAGAGCAATGTTTGGCATTTAAACAGTTTGGAGGATGTTGTCTTTTTTCTTAAACTTATATAAGAATGGATTTAACAGTGTGGCTTGTCTGCTCTAATGCACTGAAAGATATTAGCATGTCCAGCTAACTAGTTACCGCTATTATTTTTTATGGTTACTAGCTTGGTCATGACTTGTACATGCAGAAGTTGATCCTGGATGCTGTTTTAGCTGATGTCTGCAGCTCTGTCCTAATTAAAAAGTAGCTTAATTGCAGTCAGACCTTCCATTTTTCCTTATCTTACACATGTACTTTTAGGGACTAACAAGCTCTACATTGCAACAAAAGAACAATGCTGTTGCTTTATTTTGCAAGTCCTCATTAATGGTGAGTTTCTCTCTGGGACATGTAGCTTTAGCCTCAGTCTTTTATCACAGTATTTAGATACATCAAGTGCATATTTTTAAACCTGTTTCTTTTTTCAATCTAACTTGTGTTAACATTATGATATATATGTATAACATTATATTAAACTAACAATATGAAGCTTAATCGGTTAGCTTAATCGGCTAGGTAGCCACAGATGATAATATTAATACCGATCTTGTGGGTTGAATTTTTGTCTGATAAAATTCATCAGTTGAAAATGTGAAGAGTGCTTCTGTCTGTAATCAAGGAACCATTGTTTTGAACATTTGTAAAAAAAATTGTAGCTCTGCTCCTGTAATCACTGTAAGCAGCATACGTGTCTTATTTGTAGGCATAGCAACAGTAACTTGAGGTTCATATATTCATGAAGTTTCTGTCTTTCTTGTATATGAAAAGGGGTTCTTTAAAAAATATTTATTTAAATTATAGTTTCATGATTATAACTGCAACTGCTTTTTACTACAGAAAAACATGCACTTCCCTGCTCAACACTGGATATATATATATATATATATATATATATATACAGTATATATATATATATATATATATGTATATATATATATCATAGATGAAACATAGATGAAACATAAAAGATAAAAATTGGCATGTGAAACAATCTGGCACATGTTTTAAAGTGCAGCACAAACTATCTTCCCTGTCAACAACACACACACACACATTCACAGACACATAAATACGAGCACATGAGAAAAAAACTTTACAACTGAGATACACATGCACATGCCCTGACAGAGGTACACAGATGGAGATCCAAGCAAGCATATTAGCAAAGAGGGATATTCTTGGACTTCTTGGCACGGACACACAGAGGCTTCTAATAAAATCTCAGACAGCACCCAGACACCACCTTCTGTTCCTACCATGTGGTCATGTGGAAAGCGCTGTGCTTAAAACACTCATCCCCAGGAAGCCCAAGTGATTCCCTCACCTTGTCTCATGGGCTCACATGTGCTGCAAGAGTAAACTGGCTCTAAAATCAGATGACAAGATCTGCTTAACACAACATACCTCTGTTCTTTTTTTGGTCTACATTTATCTCCTACCTTTATTTTCTCACAATCCATAATTAAGAGATACAGTATAAACTGGGCCAGCTAAGGTGTTTTGTTTTGATATAAAATATCTTATAATAACAGGGCATAACACATCACTGTGATGTTGATATGAGGATTTCATTGAGGAATTTAGTACCGCATTGCCAGTGCCGATTTGCACATTGAAATAACCATCTGTATAAATCTGTGGCACATCTGCTCTTTCTGCAGGATCTCACCACTCTTCGCTTAACATGGTGAAGCAGCTCAGATTACTTTGGTTGCATAAGTGCCACAAGACAGGCACTTCACCTACAGACGCACTCCGGCACGCATGTGAAAACACACACACACACACCAAGCAATGAGTGTATGAACAAGTTGTTACGTTGATGGAATCATATTTTCACACAACAGATTTTTCTCTGAACCATTTCTATGGACACACACACACACACACACACACACACACACACACACACACACACACACACACACACACACACACACACACACACACACACAAATATTGGCACAGAGCCTAAAGCAATAACTCTAAGTGCTTATGGTCTAGAAGATAGACGTGTGTTTAGGAGATCAAGTTGCACTGTGCTTATATGTGTGTGTTTCAGGGGGAAAGAGAGAGAGAGACAGAAAATAGAAACTGCTGTACTGATAACCACCACATGGGGGCAACAGATTGAAGTACATTAAGTACATTCATGTTTGCTGTATTGAGCTCACTCTGAGGCGCCGGGATGAGCGCCAGAGCTCAAACACTAATGCTTTTCAGACTGTCCTTGTCTTAAAAAAAACAAAAAAAAAAAACAAGACCTAAGTCATATCAGAGAGAGAAGATTCAGAGCCAGTCATAACTCTTAAATGTCCTGTCTTTTCATCGCTTCTTGTTTTTTGGATGGGTCGTTTGCGTTATTGTAATTTGAATCCCCACATTTATCATTTTAAGTGAAGGAGGCAGTTTTTATGGAGTCCCAAAAGTGACAACTTTCACTACTGAGCCTTGGGCTGAATTGAAAATATAAATGAATTTGGGAATACATAATTGAGTATAAGCTAAATAATGGAAAGTTGAATTTACCTTTTATTTGTCACAGTACTCATTCAGTCATTAATGTATGTTTCCTCAGACTATTTCATTTTATCCATCTCCGTCCATATCTCTAAGTTATCTCACATTTCACATTTTTTGTTGTTGCTTATGATAATGAGAGTTGATTGATTGCTCAAGGTGCATGTCTAATATCAGGGGTTGATAGTAGTAGTAATAGTAGTAATGAAACACACTGCGTTAATTAATAATTTATGATAATAATAATAAAAAGGTGCTGAAATATTAAATATGTGTTGGGACCAAGAAAAAAGGAAAAGCAAGGATTCTTGGAGGTAAATTTAGAAAAAGAACATGCGTGTTATGTGTTCACTGCTTCTTTTGATTCATCAGATAGCAGGTTATTGACATTTGTCTCCTCTGAGATTCCACACAATACCATAAAGTGTGGTGTAAACTTAGTTTAAGAGGGGACAAATGGAGAAAATCTAGATTTCTAGGATCATTGATCATTAGACTCTGTATAACCTCCTGCAGAAATAGGAGTCTTAACCACTACATGTCTCCAGGGAGCTCTGTCTTTTTTCTTTAACCTAAATATTCCCATTACAGTCACGTAAATGACTGAAGGACTATAAATCACCAGTGGCTCGCAGGCCAGAAATGGTCCTTGTGCAAATATTTTTTTTGCCTCAGCCCACAAAACCCATCAATATGAATTGAAGGCTGCAGGGGTAACTAGAAGTGAATTAATCTTTTTTAGACCCTTTACCCAAGTGTTTTTGCTCACCATGGGACCTGAATGTGGTGGTATGATGGCTCAGTGATTCACATTATCGCCTCGCAGCAACAAGGTCTATTAGCAAACCTGCTGCATGTTCTCTCTGTGTCTGTGTGGTTTCCTCAGGGAGCTCTGGTTTCCTCCTACAAACCGTACACGCAGTGGACTGGAGACTCTAGATTGAATGCGTTGTCTGTCTATTTGTGTATATAGACACATATATGTCCTGTAAATGTATACAGTACATCCTGTGATGGACTGGCAAGCTGTCCAGAATGAACTCTGACTCTTGGCCAATGCATTATGGGAATGGCCCCAGCCCCTCGAAGTAGTAGTTTGTGAGACTTGGGTCTATAACAGGACATTATTACAGATTTAATTTACAATGCTGTTTTAATTTAAGCCAAAAAGGAAGCTAAGACCCATCTATTCCTGCACGACTAATACCTGTAATATGCTGAGAACTTGCACTTGATGAATGGCCCCTATGTTATAACTTTTTGGAAACAGAAGAATAATCTGACCTACATTTACTCTTCGACAAGAGTACAGTGTGTCGAAACAATTGTAATGTGACTTATTGTTACCAGATGACAAGAAAGCAGTACTTTGTTCACAGACACCGGATAAAGTTAAAGTGAAAATGATTGATGACTTGAAAAGTGCCCATGATGTTGAATATGTTTAAAGCCAGACTTTGTTTCAGTCTATTATTTTTGTTGTTAGCTGGTCAAACCCCTTATGAAATATCTAGAATGAAACATCTGTTGTTTGCATCCATTTCACTTCCTTTTAAATCCTTATGAAAATCATTTCTGTGCACAAATATACCTTATAGATAGCAAACATTTGGCACAATTTAAACATTTGATTGAGCCAGTCCAAGCAGCCTTATTGCACAAGTCTTTGTCAAGGCTTTCTATCATTGATATTTCCCTTTTTAGATGAAGCACGGTCACATGATGTATGTATATCTTGCCTGTAAGAATAGGTGAAGGTTTCTCACCTGTTTCTCAGTACATTTTACCTGTGCCTCCTCTTGACCTTGTTCGCCAGGAAGTCGCTGCCCTAATTGTATTTGTGCTGTAGTTACTGCAGTATCATCCATTGACCGGGAGCATGAATATCCATGCACATCATTGATAATATGCAAATTCTGGTCATTACATCCATCAAAAACTGCTACTTTTTCCATTAGTATTTTTATTTTGTTCAGGACACCTTAGCTGGAGCCCCTGCTCCGGAAAAAAAGAGGAACACCTTTGTTGCTGATATATTAAGTCTGAGCTATGGTAAGTGCTTGTGCCTTTAAGTGAAGAGAGGTTTTTTTATACAGCATTTATATACAGCGTCTATACATACAACATTCACACCAACATGGGTGCTGTGGGCATGCCAGTCCACATGCACCCTCCAATTTTTCTTTACTCTTGAAAAAAAACAAAAAGAAAAGAAATAAAGGGCAGGGAAACAATGAGACATACATACACGCATTAACAAGAGATTCCAGAAAGCACCAGGTTCAAGTTGAAAGGAAAAAAAATAAGAGCATGCATATAAATCTTTGGGAATGGCTTCTGTTTAAAACATACATGGTTTATTCTACATTTTTTAGAAGCTATTTTCACCTTGTTTTTTTTTTTTGTTTTTTTTTTAACAGAACAACATACATGAGGAGAGGAACAGGGGATGGAATGTGATGAAGAAAAACTAAATAAACACTGAAGTAAGCACAAGAAATCACAATGTGATAGAAGTCACGTTGCTTTTATCTCTACTTGAATTGAATACAATACAAATAGAAGTTCAGAGTCCTTTTATGGAGTGCAGCGTGGTAATGTTACACTCTGAATGCTATTCCTAGTACACAGGTAATATCTAGTACATTCTAGTATACCAGTTGTTAAAGGTATTGTGAAACACAAGTTAACCCCTTGCTGCCTGCTCTACAGGCCAGCTTTCTCATAAGTCATACAATGGATAATGGGATTTATAACATTTGCCACTGAGTGAGATTTCAAATCTTTTTGGTTAGGGTTCACCTCTGAATTTCAATTTGTCCACTGAATGAATTGCACATATTATACACAATAATATGTTACAGTATGAATGTGAGAATGTATTTGCAATGTTAATGCTTGCTAAACTGGTCCTATGAATGATGTGCTGTGTGTGAGAGCATCACCATAGTATGCTGGTGTTTGCTGTAAGCTGTGTGTACTACTGTTGCACCAATGTCGAAGCTAAATAATGAAAATGATATGTTGTGTTTGAGGTCCATGTCCACGGAAGTTTTGAAATGTGTGCGTGGATTAATGACATCATCATTTGTGGGGAGGCAGTGTTGGTAAGGGGGGGTCAGTGTTTGGTGGGGGTGGCTGTGGTCAAACACGCACGCTTACAAAACTTTCACACACTCATTTACAAACACACACTTCCTTGCAGAGGTGCGCAGGACTCTCTACTTCTTCCTGTAGTTGCCGAGCTGGATGGCGGAGCGGTCGAAAACGCAGCGGAAGGTGATCGGCTGAACTTCCCAGTAAGGCACGGGGTTGCTGAACAGGCTGATGCCAGAGTACATGGCCTTCTTGGTGTTGAAGCCAGGAGGACAGAAGTCCTCTGTTCCCACAGCAGCAATCTTGTTGACATGGAGGTAGACCACCTAGAGAAGGGATTAAAATAATGACAACCTTCGGTCACTGACTAGGATGTGGATGGCAATAATTTAGATTTTCCAAAATAAAGCAGATAAAGAGGATAATAATAAGTCACCAAATGAATAATAACAGCTCAAGGAAGCCAAATAGAGTTTTTTTTTCTCTTCAACATGTTTAACTAAAAACAGTAAAGAAACTTCCTGTATGGTCATACTTCAAATTACCAAAGAGATGATGCTGCTTGATGCTTGAGAACGAGCATGGTTTTACATGCACAGGAAAAACAGAAGGGCATAAAAAGTATATGAACATGAGACTGGCTGAAAACATCATGCAGCACTGAGAGTGATGAGAAAGCTCCTAGAAATAAGAACAGAGGGAGGGAATTGCCACAAACTAACTGAGACAGACAATATAAGGCTAATTATAGATCCAAAAACACCAAACTATACATGGAGGAAGATCATAATGAATTACAACCGGCAAAATATTAAAGAGAGCAGGTAAGAAACGAAAAGATGATCAGAATATGAAAAGAGCACAAAAACTAAACATATCATAAAGTCCATTTGGATATGTAGTTCCTAAAATAAAAACCATGCTGAGCACTTGCTTTCTCTTTGAGGAGGTTTGACATTCTACTGTAATTGTGATAATATAGTTACATTTTAGATTAATTTAGATTTGTATTATATAGTTTTCATATAATACATCTGAAATTGAAAGTGTTGGTTGTTATATTAAAATATTCTCATATTAACACTATGTCTTTTTGGGTAACCAGACACTATTACTACAGTGTCCCAGTCTGTACTGGGAGAAACTTCAGTGTAGAAGAAACTGTACACAACATTTCTCTAAACTTTAAACTGAGTCCTTTCTTCCCACAGTGTGGTTTGTTATGTCTGCTGAGGACAATGTCATTAAAACTGGGGTGCTCACAAAATAACTGCAAAAAGATGGTTGAATCAATATATAATCCCAACCTACTACAGGAAATTACCCCAAACTGCTTTATGGGTATGGGATCGATGCAGCAGTTGCTGAGGCTTGAGAAGCCTAATGACATGATGAAATAAACTGAAGCAAAGCTAAAGTTGAAGAGCCTGGAATCAGGCCTGTTTACACTCCCCCCTACCGCCAAAAATATGTAATACTATAGTATGACAGGCTACTAACACTTTACTTAATAAACAAACTAAATGAATCCATGTGACTGTTGTTATGAAAGCCTTGGTTGACTTCTAATCGGGCAGTGTGATCCCAAACAAACCAAATGCAAAAATGCAACAAAGGAAACTTTTCCAGTATGGTTTAGATCAGAGAAAATGAGCTGTTTGTGATCACACCATAAGAAAATAAGTAACATAACTATAAGGCTCAAGCAGAGTTAATTTGCTGGAACTAAATGGTTGCAATAGCAATCTTCCTGTGATCATGTTGTGTATTCAAAACTGGATCAATAGCACTGACATATACAAGCACTGTACCTGGATGTACTTATGGTCGGGCAGGCCAGGAGGAACACCGGTCAGAGCATTGTTGTCGAGATGCAGCTCTCGCAGGTGGGGGACGTTAGCCAGTGTGCCGTTTTCCACAGAGCTGATCTCATTGTAGCTCAGACCCAGTCTGCAAAATAACAGCAAGTAGATGAGGCACTGAAATGTGCAAATGTGCAGAAGAACAAAGACACAAGAGCACAAAGTGCATGAGCGCAGAAACTGAGATAGTTACATCAGTGTTTAGCCTACTGCCAAAATTATAGCCAGTGAAGTAGTAAAAAAATGAAACAAAATATCAACATACTCTACTCATGCTGCAACAAAGCTCTCTTTGTTCGAACTTGGTATGTCATCGTTGGCACAATCTGAGCAGTGTTACGAATTTAATGAGCAAACCAGTTATTTTGATTATCCAAAACTACTGTTTAGGTCTTAGGTTTTGTTCTTTAGTACATCAGATGGATGGTAATGCCAGAGCTAGCATTTCAAGTAAAATTCATACATGTCAAACCAAAGACTAAAAACACGAGACAGCATGAAAAACTGTGCAATAGCAATACATGTTTTCATTTTTCCAAAGGGGAGTTTTAAAGCAAGACTATGTAACTTTTGAAAGATTGAATAATGCCATGTTCCTATTACAAATGAAAAGCTGAATTCAATAGCTATTGAATTCAATAACAGTAAAATGCACCTTGCTTAGTACACAACTTGTCTTGTATGAGTGGGCAAAGTGGGCAAAGTTAGCTAACCTAGCCAACTGTAAGAAATCAAGTTACATAGTTTAGCTTTAAAACTCAAAGTCAAAAAGAAATGGTAAGGCTATTATGGATTGATGTTTTATAGAAGAGTGGTAAGTTTCAGTACTTAGCCAGGTTCCTCAGGCCTTTGAGGCTGTCGGCTGTCACCTTGGTGATCTTGTTTCCATCCAGGTGGAGCTCAGAGAGAGAGCTAGGCAGACCTGACAAGACAATCCACAAGACAAGGATTACAATCTAAGTAACTAAGTGATGACTCAAGACATATACCTCCGTACCTTGGGAGCTTATATGACATTATGAAACCACTTTTAAATAGAAAGTGATAGTTACCGAGGAGTGGCTATTTCCAAGTCTGTCAAACCAAATTATTTTTCAAAGGCTTCTCATTACATGTATCATTTCACTAAATACACCTCACATGTTCCCACCATGAGATGGGGTAGTTTTGAATTACTATGCAGTACAGTTTGTGTGTTTTTTCACTTTGAGCCCATTGTTTGACTGTAGACTTAAATCCAACCGTGCATTCTTTTGATAGAAGATGGTTATTTTTGGCTGAGCCTGACTGGATAAAACTCAGATTACGCCAAATCCCCTAATTTAGGATATATTTGTGGAAAAAGATATCAGCACTGTACCTTTGGGGATCTCTGTGATGTTAGTGTCTGCAATACGAATGTAAGAGACTCTTTTCAGGTCAGCAAAAGCACCGGCTTCAATTCCGGCGCTCTTCAGAGGGTTGGACCCAAGCTCTGGAAAAAAAAAAGAGAGAGGAATGAATAGACCCCAGTAAGAAAGAAAGAAAGGAAGAGAACATCAGTAGTGGATCACGCCTATGAAGTTAATTCCCCTCCTGGTGTGTTACGGGAACACAGAGCTGAGTCATGAGTAAACAAAGTCTTGGGCAAGAGAATGGCGTGTGTTTGCAATGCGGCCTCTCTCCATGCCAGATTCCCCGATTTGTCATGGTGGGATAATAATTCTCAAATCATTGAATTGTTAGGTGACTGAATCCACATTTTCTGCTTTAGCAATGTCAGAGTGACACTTTTTAATTTATGGAACAGAAAGTTTTACAAGTGAGAGATAAACTGTGCAGTGTAAATCTGGTTTCAACAGTGAAACTTTCAGTCAAACTTTAGCTCAGTTTACAAGAGCCTTTTTTTTCCAAATGAAAACGAATCCCATTGACCATTCCCATGCATGTGTCTTTCCCTTGTTAACTTACTGTATGGTTCGGTTCACATACTCCACAGTAAAGGCCTTTACATGCATGTTACAGCTGTTGAGGTTGCACCATGTGACCTGGTAAGGTTGTATGTTCACATACACTTACTTTCACCGTTTGAGTGGTTCCATTGTGTGTCTTGCAAAATATGCAGCATGAGAGTATCTATGCTGTGTTTTTCAGTTAATCTTAATGGCACAAAGAGGTCAACTTATTTGTAGAGCACTCTGAAAACACTGAACAAAGGCTGAAAGTCCGAGCTCTGTAAAAGCTTTTCCCATGAAAGTTCTGTATGTAGCCCCATCTGTTACCTCGGTGTAGGACTCTGTGCCTCTATTCAAGCAAATAGTTCCAGGAAATAGGGAGCCCCAAGTCAAAATGAAAGACTACAAATTAGATCTTCATGCACATTCTAACTAAAAAAAGCTGCTGGGCCAAAAATGGAGCAAACTATACGAAACAAACAAACGGCTCGGACACTCCAGGACTCCAATTTTCACTTAATTATTGCACCACGAACCGGGTGATGTTTCAAGCACCACTGCTCTTCGTCAGACAGGTCTGATTTTTTTGATCCGGGTTTATAGTGCAATAAATAAGTGAAAATTGGAGCCCTGTAGTGTGTGAGCCCTTTGTTTGTTTCTTAAAATTAAAGATGCAATTTTTGCTAATGAAACTGAGTCATTGTGTTGTTCTCTTTAATATACTGTTGCGCAACTTGAATGTTTCCCGACTATTGCAAAGGAGACATACAGAGGCGGAGAGAGACTGAAAAGGTCTGAGCAGGGACATTTTGTTCTGAGGAATTAATGGCCCAAAAACTAAATTTAGACCCTGCATCTTATGGTTGAAACACAGGTAGAGTTCCTAAAAAGGTTCCTGCCTCCCAGGTAAAACTATTGTGATGGAAACAAATAATGCAATTCAATCAGACGGCCTTGCCTGAACCAACCTAAGAGACAAAATGATCCAAAAGTTTTTTTTTTGCCTATTTTTCAGCAGCACGTTACATCTTCAGAGGCATCAATGTGTTACATCTTTATAATTGACAATACTTAATTCAATATTTACACAGACTGCTGCAGAGAAAGGAACTCTTATTGTTGTGATGCTACTGAAAAACTCACTACAGTCACTACTACAGTCAAAATCATAGACATACCTCGGAGGATGTGACCTACTGCTGGAAAACATGTGCTATCCTCCGTAACTACTCTTCAAACTACTTGTGCTGTCCAAATAAATATCCCCATTCACAAACATATCAAGTGTTTTGCATTTCATACCCATGACGATGACATGGGACATGCCCTGAAAGGAGGCCTTCTTGATCTTGGTGATCTCGTTCTCATGGATGCGCAGCTCCTGCAGGCTCTTGGGCATGTTGGCTGGCATGTCCTTCAGCACGTTCTTAGACAGGTAGAGGCGCTGCAGCTTGGTCAGAGGGCTGAGGGCCTTGGCATGGATGATGGTGATTTTGTTGTTCACCAGGATCAGAGCCTATAAGGAGGAATATCAGGGAGATGGGATACTCGTGTTTAATATGTTAATAAAGTAGAGCTTTTACCATGGTCTCCATGGCGTTTCGGGTTAGTGAAAATGCTGCCGCAAAAGATAAATTCAAGGGATTCATTCTGGCACGAAACATTTAATGCATCAGTGAAGTAAAGTCAAAACTAATGGTATTAGTTTACAGCAGTTTTTTTCAAATCCAGTCTGTTCTTGTTTAAATTCACATTATTATGGAATTTGAACTTTATTTGAAACTGTACACGTTAGTGGTTTTCACTGCTCCCCCGCTCAGAAACATTCATTGCTACAAATGCACCATGGGACTGAAAAAAAAGAAGAAGAAAATCTGTACTTTCCAGATGAGACTCAACAAAAACACGACACTCAGTGCTCAGCAGCTGTTAGATTATCCAACCTGGTGCCTGCTCCGACAAGATGGAGAGCCAACTTCAAAACCGCTATGAGTTATCCCCAGTGCATTTTCAGAGGAATCTCATTCCTGTTGGTCCACTCTTGTGCAAGCGGACATGAGTCAATGTGAGGTATGACGTCCAGTCCCCTTGAGAGGCCATTTACATTGGAGTGGAAACAGCTATGGCCGTCAGACAGAGGTATTTATTGCCAGCAAGAAAGCTACAGAGTGTGTGCTCAGAGGTGTGAGGCTGTGAGACTGTAAGGCCTACGGGTGAATAGTTTCCATACACCTGGTGACTGTTCTGTATGATAAAGGTAATGTGAGGCCCAAATTACTTCTTGGTGAATGATTGAATTGTGCTCTGTGAGGCTGCAAATTGTTTGACAGTGTTTTGGCAGCGCACTTATCAAAGCTTGTTGATAACCGGTGTAACCTCTTCCCAACATCCTGGAAGACTTTTTTTTTTTTCTCTTGTTGCATCTGCACTTACAGCACAAATAATGCTTCCCCATGGGGATCATCAGGTTTTCATACTGAAGAGGGGCTGCGGTTAGTGTAACTGTTACATAAGAACACACATTACATAACTTTAGGAACAATACACAGCGAAAAGACATGAAGCTCTACAGATGGAAGTAAAATGTCTCTTACATGCAGTCCTTTGAGATTCTTGAAGTCGTTCTCCTTGATCTCAGTAATCTTGTTGTTCTGCAGGTCAAGCAGGGTGGTGTCATCAGGGATATCCCCAGGAACTGACTTCAGACCTGATGGTGAATTTTTAAGGAGACATTGTTTAATTAGATGTAGCCTTCTGTACGTGGGTTAACATCCAACCACAATAAATCCACTGGAATGATGGATGATGAAAAGTTTGACGCGAGATGGTGACAGCCCTGGTTGAGGTGATGAGAGGTTAACCACACTCTGACCTCAACAGGAAATGGATACAAAGTGCTAACCTCCTAGTTGGAGTCTCTGACAGTCAGTTTCTATCTGACTGTTCGTTAACAGTGGCAGATTCGACAAATGACATCCATTTTGAAAACAATGGATGTTTGATTAAACACAGAAGTAAACAAAATCAGAAAATTCATTTCTAGCCAGCGACTGTGTATTTTTTCAGCTTAAACAGTAGCTACGCTTGATTTTATCAGCTATAGCTAGTGTAAGCTCAACCCAAATCTGTGAGTTGTATCTCCAGCTTTCCTTTTAATGTTTCCAGCTGAATCATTTTAACATGAGAGCCCCGTGAAATTGTCTTAAATATACACACAATAGTTGCATTCGTAATATAATGCTAAAAGACTAAAGTTACACGCTTCAGGCAAAAAGTCAGCAGTTATGGTGACTAAGCTAATGACTATACAATCACTGTTTGCGGGCAGGGTTTAGTGAATGTAGAGATTGTAAATCAAGTCTAGTGAATGTTATGTCTCATTAAGTTTCTTACGAGCAGTTGGGTTCTGCATGAACTCAAACATTTCTGCCAGTTAAAAGTTAAAACAGTTTCACTTGAGCGATTTATGCATTTGTGTTTTCATCCTTGCTTTTCACAAGTTTGAAGTGGGCAAGCCTGCATTGGAAAAAGGTGATGTCACATATTTCCATGCACTAATCAGAGTTTAAACTGAACTCTGATGACAGTTGTTTGGTTGTTTGCTTTTGCTGCTGGCGTTATCAGTCCAACCAGATCCCACCACACCCACACGGTCCTGATTAAGCAGATTATCTAACTTTATGAGTGTTAAACTCTTTATAGTAACTAAGGGTGTTTTTTTCTGAACTTAAAATAAAAAGTTAATGTTATAGAGAAGCACTGTAGATTTCAGGGGCTTTAAGCACTTACAAACTATTATGGCCTGCACATACTGAAACAGAGAGAATCAAATCTGGAGGAGCAGGACACAGTAATGGGGTTTACAGTAGCGACACTCTGAAATAACAAGGTCTGCTTTGTCAACGTAGCACGCTACATAAAGTCTCAATGATAGGGACTTGTGCAGTGGGTTTTATGGTGACATTCCAAAGGGACCAAATAACTATTTGATGTGCTCTGAGGCACACATGGTGGAAATGGACCTTAAAACAAATTTCCTTTGGAGTAAGTAAGCGACTGCATACCTGGACACTGAGCTCACACTAAGCCGTTTTGCTTGGACTATAGTTTGGCAAGTCATGTGACATAGAAAGACTATTTGGTTGAGTGGACTGTTTAAAAAAAAAAACTGAGCGTAGACAGCTGGGAGTTATTGTGTATGCCCGTATGCATCCGTGGCTACACAAAAAATACACGGAGATTCATAATGTGCAGTTTACATTTCAGAGGAAGAGGCGTAGAGTAAACTGTTTAACAAAGAAGCTTACACTCCGTATCTCCAGTCTATATACGTATGTCTCTGTCCTAAAAGCTTGTGACGACTCCTGTTCAGCTCACCCAAACATTACTTCCAGCTAGGTTTGCTTTTCTGTCAGCTTTTCCAACTCGGCAGTGGATGACCCACAAACCATCACAGCTGTTTGTGGTCACCACCATCATTACAGCACCACACTGCTTACCTCTACAGTTGCACACACATTCTTTTTTATTGTTCTTCTCTCATAGTCAGACTTTCTCGGCCTTTACAGCTTCAATGTTGAGTATTCCTTTTTCAATTAGTATTAAATTTTTATTGAAATGCAAAACCAAAATAGCTGGGAAACCCTTCAACAGACTTTTTCTAGCCACTGTACAGTATAAATTAGTCTAGTGTGTGCAGCATCACTGAGAAGTTAAAGATATCATGATGTCAATAAGGGAAATGGTTTTCGATTTTTATGCAGCTTTCTCAAATAAAACCCGATTTGTGAAAAAAAGGCTTAAAACCAATTTATCACACAGATTTTATGCCCTTATGTATCAGTTTCTAACATCACAAAAAGTGATCAGTAAAATAACATCTGTCATGAAAAACAGCTCACAAATGCTTCCTGTAAGAGAAAATGGAGAAAAACTCAAGAACTGTACTCAAGAAAAACTCAATTTAAAAAAAAAAAAATTAACACAGATAATTTCTGACTTTTTAAGATGAAAAGTGATTGACATCCAGCTATTAAATGTACTCCTTTTTTCAAACAAATACTTGGTCATATGACACCAAACAATAAGTGGAACACTAAAAATCTGTGCAATGACGACAACAACATGAACAGACCAATCAGTATAAATGATTTGAATGTCGTGTTTGGGTCAGCATCTCACTTTTCAGGTGATAGCCACTTGGCAGGAAAAGAACCAGAGAACTGGGACTTTAAGTCTCGCCCCCACTATTATGATCACTATCTATCTCTCATTTTAAACAAAGTAATTGGGATATCAAGCGAATGATTGCTTTGGATTGGATTCATTTCAGCACTTCCAAGCATTAATGACAATGTTTGCGGTGTTTATTTTCTTGTTTGGCACTTGATCTGGTTGTCATCAATGGCCTGATTGCCTAATGGGTTAGAGTAAATTTGGAGTTTTTGGCGGGTCATTCGGAAGTGTGGGAATGTGACAGTGAATGTTACACAATCACTGAACATAAAATATATGTTGTTGTTTTTTTATTGAGGGAATTTGGTGATTGAACAGATGGTAAGGGTGAAACGTTACACTTCTAACCGAGAACAAAAGGTTGTTGTTTTAGTCTGTCCATCAGCAAAAGCTCTTTGTAACAGAACTAGCAATGTAATCACAACTCATTTGAACCTTAGGCTAAATTTTCTCTCCTGAATGTTTTAGCTGTCAACCTGCCAGCAGCAAACTCACTGAGGAAAATCCACATCTACAAAAGCTAAAGAGTGCTTTGGGATGGTGAGCAGACTCTCTCTGCCTTGCCCGGGCCTGTGTGTGTGCGTGCGTCCAAATATATACATGTGTTTATTCCTGTGTGTCTGAGTGTGTGTTTGTGTGCATGCCAGCAGGTCTGGGGAACAGATGGAGGCTTGGGGCCAACATTGCTGATGCAGAAGTTGAGAATCCAGCCATGGAGCTGCATCTCTGGGGAAAGTGCTGCTGCTGATGACTGGGGCCCCGGCTGGAGCGCTGATGTAATGGAACCAGTCTTTTCCTGGACAACACTCTCTCCAACTGTCTGCGTCTTTGACCGCCTGTCTATCGCTCTGACTTTTCAGCCACCTGTCCATCTGGGCCTCCGGTTATTCCTCACACTTTCTGTGATTGTTGCCCTGAATCTGTAACATATTTCACTTCACCGTCCCAACCCTAGTCGTCTTAAAGCTTACAAAAGGAAAGTGGTGATGAGCTGGTTATATCTGTCTTCTCCTCTTTAAAGTTTATCCTTCTGGTTTGTCCATCTGTGTCACTCCCCCTCTCCTTCATCTGTCTCCTTGAAGCTTGTGCCCCTCCCTTTGCAAACAACAGCGGAGCCAAAAAACTATCAAACCCAACTGCGCTGCAAAGCAGTTTTATGTAATATATGAGAATAATTGAGGTCAGGGACTTTTCTGCGACAAAGTTTGTGAGATTACTCAAGTTCTTGTATATGCTATTGATCAGATTAGACAAACAGAAATGATAAACTCCAAACACCGTAGATGACAACTGAGTAAATTGTTGTGACTGTCCTGAAGCAAAGAGCTGACTAAGTAATTGTAGACTTTGTGAATGAGTGTTACATTGAAAAACAAGTTTAGGAACATTTGAGGAACTGGGATTTGTTCAGGACTTTCCAGGCTATCCTTTAATCTTCACTGTTGTATAAGAAAACAAGTTGCCCAGCGAGAGCAAATAATGTAACTGTTACAGGATGTGAAATAAGACCCACATCTGTGAGCATTTAACTTATCAACACTGGTGTCTTGTTCTCTGGGTGACTTCACAATAATGTGTAACATAATACACCCCTCGAATGACCCCGTGGGTTTGGGTGGATTGGTGGAGACACAATAAAAGTACAGTAAAACTAGTGCAGACACCCGTCTGACCTCAGCCTCTGACCCATCAGAGTGAGCTCAGTTGCTTGGAATCCAGGCCAGTACACCAAATGGAGGCGTGGATGAAGAAAATGGATGCGAACAAGAGGCTTGTGACTTTTTTTCTTGACTTTTTAATTCAAATCAAGTCACACTGATAAATTAGTACTTAGGTCTGATAAAGCACACACACATTGTATGTGTCGCTAAACACCAGCAGCAAAGTTTTGAGGTTGTAATTTTAGCATTGCTTGAAAAATCAGTCTCTCCATTTTCTCAAATGTGAATTTGTTGCTTTTCTTAGTTTTATATGGTTGTGGGATTGAATAGACAAATTTTAGACAAAACAAACAATCTGAAGACATCACTTTCTGACACAAGCAAAATGATTGATTCAACAAAATAATAATCAGAGTTCTTGCCCTAATATATTCAGGTAAGAATAACAATAGGAAAATACTGATATATACAAGAATATAATGTAGGACTATCTGTTCTTCCATTATAAATATTGACTCGGGTTTTTGTAAAAATGTTACTTGATTTCTTTTCTTTTAGATATTTTGGATAGGCATGTGATGAGTATTTATCTAACACTAAGGATACTGCCATCTGTTCCTTTGTATGATGAAAATAAGAGATTTCTTATAAGGTAAATTTTTTACCTTTGTTTCCAGTAATTACACCTTTGCCTCAGAATCAGTGTGGTTAATGATTCATTGATGCTAAAATGCTGCACATTAAAACTTTAATTATAGGGATTAATAGTCTAAAAAGATGAGCGAGAATCCCACACATGTTGAGATAATGTGTTGGATCAGTTTTGTCTTTCTGTCATTTCACAGTAAAAGCCCCAAGTCTTTTATTCAAGATCACAGAAATATGCTTTTTATGAGGTATTAATCCTCTCCAATTATACGCTTGCATGGAGTTTGATTTTAACCCTGTGTGACTGCCTCACGACCACTGCATGCTTTGGTATGCTCACCTGTAACCCTAAAGAGGATATTGGGGGAAAAAAAATAGAATGGGATCACACACACAACCATCAACCATCAGTAGGTGTCTTGTCTTACCGAGGTCAGAGCACTGGATCACACGAAGGTGGCACTGACATCTGAAGGGGCACTTGGGTCCAACCGGCATGGCAGGAAAGCCAAAAGTTGTAGTATCTTCCACACCTGATCCCGCCTCATCCTCCATCATGAAGTCTAGGAAGCCCGACTGGCGGAAGGGCAGAGCCCAGCAGGCAGTAACCAGGAGCAGAGAGAGACAGGCCGACCTCATGGTGCTACTAGCAGGGAGCCTGGAGGACGAGAGGACACAGTTCAAAGGTTTGGGTGGATACACTCTGAAAACAGCCTGTCTATGATTACTTTTTAAATGACTCCGTATAACTATCTGTTTCTGATTTAATGTTATAATCGGAGGGAAAGTAGGCAAAGAGAAGAGGGAAAATAGATTTTCAGCATGGCAGTGATTCAAATGCAGACAGACGGACGCTGTGTAAGAAAAAACTGGACAAGCCACACTGATTGAATTCCAGAGAGGCAAAGGGCAAAGGTGAGAGGTGGAGGGTTGGGGGCTAAAAGGTTAAACACTTGGGTGTAACAGTTTAGTGGGGTTGGCCAAATAAGCTATTTAACTGTTACGTTTTTTTTGCAGAAGGTGAAAGGTGAAAGAGGAAGGGTTAGTGCAAAAGCCAAATGAGAAAATTACTTTGAATATTACTTTGTCAGAAAGGACAAGCCTTAGGGATAACTCATTTATGTTATTCAAGAATAATGAGCAAACAAAAACACACTAGTACTAAAAAATGTACTTGTGGACATACAATATCTACTAAAACTGTGGTTCACAAGTTTTTCGTCAGATCCCATTCCATCTATCTAAATGATTTATCCTTTATTTTTTTAGCTATTTCGTGTATTCAGCCTTTACTTTTAGCTAGCTAAAAGTTTCACTATTCCCTATTTCACTATCTATCCCTTTGTATTACTATTAGCTGTCCCTTTTAACCATTTTTTTTTTTTTGCTATTTCGCCCATTACATTTAGCTAACCATTTCACCATTTATCCATTTTTATTACATTTCAGTCATCTGTTTTAACCATCATCCATTATTTTTACCTAGCTACATCCATGGCCTTGACCATGCCTAAACCCAACCAATCCAACCAGCGAAGGCAACGACCATTAGCCAATCAGAGGCAGCGTCGGGCGGGTCATGTCAACTCCAAGTTAGGATTCGTAAGTTTACAACCGGCTACTGTAGCATTGATAGCTAATTGACGGATAAAGTCACAATGGAGGAAAACGTATTGCAGATTTTTTTTTTTTTGGCAAACCACCGGCTAAAGAGAGTGCAAATGACGTCCAGCCTTCCCAGGAGAGAGGCTCCACCAGCACTCAGTCGTTTTCGTTTGGTTGTAATTTTTCCGTCCTGATCTCCAGCTCAAAATGCTAGGCGATGTCACCAGAGAGTCTCGTGTCACCGTTCAAGATGAAGCAACACGTCCATTTAATTTCCATCCCCAAACAAGAGCTCTGTTTACAGAAGCTGAAAAACTCTGTTATGTCCATATCTTTGCTTGCCCATCTCTGTGGCCTCATCCGAGTGGGCCATCTGCACCTAGCATTGCGTGAAAACATGGCTACGCAATACCATGACCCAGAAAAGACAAACTCACCTCTCCTTGATGCATGCCCACACTGACATTTTGAACTCATTGGACATCCATGCCCTCATGAGAGACTTCATTTCCATAACACCTTATGGCAAGGCCGCATTTGGATTATTATAACTACTGGAGCACCTGACCTGCAGCTCAAGGTAAGTTATTTGGTTTAAGCTGCCGCCGAGCAGTTTAATATTCAGTTGTCAATTACTTGTAACGTCACACCGACCTACCTTTTTGAAAAAAAAGGTATTTTCGTATGTGTTTTTGAAAATGCGTCGTTTATGAATTTGCGGCTTGTTTCTCCCAATGGAAATGTTTTGGGCCGTTGCCCTTGTCGGCCACCGTAGTTATCTTTGATGGTGTATTATTGTCAGCTGCCACCGAGCGGTTTGATATTCAGTTGTCAATTACTTTTAACATCACACTGCTATATCTTTGTTGAAAAAATGAAATGTTCATATCTGGATATCTTCTTGTGTGCCATGAGCAATGGGCTTTTGGATATGTGTAGTGCAATGCCATGGCATTATTGCGCAATAGCATTTGCATTACTAGGTGTTTTATACACCTGGCTGCTGTTGTTGTTATTGCTGCTGCTTTTTTGGTCTGTGTTGCAGTAGTATTGCTGTAGGCCTATGTTGTAATTGTATGGGTTGTATTGTATGGGTTGGGGTAAAATGCTCCTCCCACTACAGCACCTGCAACTTAAAACATCTTACCGCAACCCTGGCTATATTCATTGCTTTTAGCTAATTATCTATTTAGCTGTAGTATCAGCTTTTTCTCTTGTAGTTTTCACACACTCTCAATCGCGGCATGTAGTGTTCAGATGTTACAACTGACAATATGCTAATATATTCTTAAATATATTAGTTATATATTTTTTTAAATTGTAGCTTTAATTTTCTCCAGTCAGTTGAGCTACTCTACCATCTACACACTGTGGAAACTGTAGGAGTACCCCAGGTTGAGAATCACTGTACTCAGATGCAGTAACGTTTCCTTTTTTCTTTCAAAATGATCTATATAATTCAATTTTACAACAGAGGAAGAACCAGCGCTGGCTGCTGAATAAGTAACATCTGCATTAGCTTTTACAGTAATACACAGGGGATACACATGAGACATTTCATGGCTGCCACTGTAAACTGCTTTACTACATTTTCTACTCCAAAGTAATGAATCACAGTGATGATTTGTTTGCCAAGTACTTCATGGTGTCAGCGTGTGTCACAAAGTGCAATAAAAGCAGAAGCAAGCATCCGGAGTCACTGGGAGAATCCTGCTTCCTTAGGCAGTTGTCTATTTCTAAACACAACCACAACCCAATTGATACATACACACACACTCTCTCTAACTTAAATCCAGCGCGGACTTCCACACAAACTCCCTGACCTTTTACATAGAGACGCACACACACAAGTCTCAAAGACCTAGCAATCTGCTTGTCATGCATAAAGCCAAAAGTTGCTCCTTCCCTCTTGGTGCCACAATAATTGAAGGGCGGATTTGAGCCACAGCTGCTAACAAATGATTGGGGAGCAGCTGGTCTGCAGCAGACCTTGACCTGAACATCATGACCAGGATGATGAAACTGACCCAAAACCATCAGTTGGCCAGAGCTGAAAGTGTCTCTGGGCTGGTTTATATGGCCTGTGTGCATATGATGCTTATGTGCTGCATCTTTGTTTTACTTTATTTGTGTGAGTATTTTCATGTTTTGAGGCGTACTAAAGCAGGTGCACATGATGTATATATAACTTTATAGGTGCACATATTGTATGTGTGAAAAGCAATAAAAGCACTGTTAAATATTTTTGTGCACTGTGAGAATGAGGGAGAAACCAAGAGAGAGATGTGCTGATGTAGTGTTATCCAGGTTAGGGTTACATCAGGTCAAGGGGATCACGGCTGAGAATGACTCTCAACACAAGCTGTAATTATAGTCCTTGTCCACAAGACAGCCGCCGCTTTGACACACTGTACAGCCTCAGTCCAGTGGTTACAGTGCTTGCATACAGTATGAGCAAGCTTGAAATCATTTCTATTCAGAGGGGAATTGTGTTGGATGGGATATATCTGCCTCATAATGTTTCTCTTTTACTCTTGTTCTGTTGCTATGAAGTGGAAAAAGCTGAAAAACACTCAAAAGGGTGATTTCATAAGTCGGCACTTGGAGACGGGAATTGTGTCACATCAATGTTTAATGCAGTTTTTCCACTTGGAAACATGGAGTATGTACTGTAAGAGGAGGTGCTGAAACAAAGAGCCCTGGTCTGAACATACAATAGATCCAGAGGACATGTTGTTCTAGTCATCGACACACTGAGTAATCTTGGCTGTGTCAGGCTCTCTTATCTAAGCGCAGCTGAAAGCTCTATCCAACAAAAACCTTGTCTGCAGACTTGGCAGGAATGTTCTGCCGTCCTTTTGGATTTAAGGATGTAAACCACTCTTGGGTCAAATAGTGCTTGTGGATGCATTTGAAGGTTTATTTTATCCTGTTTAGATACCAGATGAGTTGGTTTTTTTGTTGTAGTGTGATGCACTCATTTCCAGTACTGGAAAGTATTTGAAAGTCAGTTTATCAAACTTCTCATAGTTGTACGGATGTCGTGAACTCCTCACATCTGGCACATCTTGCAGGCTGAAACATCTACGGAGCCAGTGTACCAGCTCTGTTTGAAGGAACAGCAATGCACACAAAATAACAGAGGTTTCACCACAGATTACTGAACCTTATCTCCCTGCCTTGACCCATGGCCCAAAAGCACATAAACAGATATACATGCACATGTGCATTGTTACTGGATTTCAGGCAGCCCTCCATGTGTCCTGCCATCAATCCATCAACCTCTGTCTATAAACATCTCATCAGCTTTTAATGTGAGCCAGACAGGCAAGAAGAAGAAGAAGAAGAAGATGGCAATTTTAGACTAAGCTCTGGGAGCGTTTAATGGTTGCATCTTTACTGCAAAGTCAAGAATTACTGCTACTCTGTGAGTCATAATCAGACCCAGGAGTTGTTGATGAGAATAAAACAAGATTTTGAAATAAAACCAAGAAAAAGGAATACAAGAGATTTTCAGGGATTATTGTTTGTGACATTAACAAACAATTTGTAACTGCAGAGTAAAAGTGGTACTAATATTACTGAGTCTGGAGATTTTGGTTTTGGAACTGGAGAGCTGTATATTGTGGAAATATATGGCTTTGTATTGTAAGTAGAGCAGTGAAATAATGGGTACATGGTCATCCAAGGTTTGCCTGTGAACATAAAGGTCACTCTAAATTGAAAACACAGAACAAGTAATTACGGCCAAATGTTTTTGAACATATAAATTCAAGGCTACTAGCAGCTTTCCCAGCAGGGATGAACCTCTGAAGAAGATGCATGAGACAACCTGCTGTGCCCCAGGCATCGGTTCTTTCATTACCAGTCTGCTCAGATGTGCCCACAGGCCCTGCAGGATGGCCTGCTCTACGAGGATGCTCCCACCTCCATGTGCACATACAGACCTGAAGAATCTACTGAACACACGACACAGGCTCCTCAAACAACACACTTGTGTGTGTGTGTGTGTGTGTGTGTGTGTGTGTGTGTGTGTGTGTGTGTGTGTGTGTGTGTGTGTGTGTGTGCTCAATCCAGAGGGCTGTCAACACAGCATGCTGGAACATGACTTGACCATGTAAGCTGGTATCAGCTTTTCAAATCCCTTCAAAGAAGATGCAGCTTTCTGCTATGAGATAAAAGCCATTCACCTTATCATTTTCAGTTTCACAGAAGAATCCTAGTGATCACACCAAGCTGGAAATGAAACCCTGCTGTTACAAAAAGTTTCAGTTTTCTTCCCTGTAGCTTAGAAAATATGATCTGACTTAGTTTTTTTTTTTATCAAACGGATGCACTTTTGAGATGAAACATATATTATACACATATTTTGTGGTGATGTAATGTTTGTAGCCTCACCATTGATTCAGTGGTTTTGATATTTGGCTATTAAGGATTTTGAATATGTGAAAAACATCTGTATTATTTGCGTTAATTCATGCAGGAATATTCACAAAGAGTAATTGCATTTAATGTGTAATTTCAGTGTGGCTTCATTCGAACATGGCCAGTATCACGTCGTAGCAAGATGAAAATGGGACAGGCTTTATTCATGAGAAGTAGACTGACACTAATCAGTGCAAATGTGGCAGTAACTGGCACACAGTCAAGATTCCTAATGGACCTTTAAGAACCATGCAAGAAAAAAAAGTCTTACTGTAAAAACCTTTAAACAAATGCAAACTTTGAGGCTCAAGGACAACAAAAGAGCTCATACTGAAGTAAAAAGAAGCTGCACTTCACACAGTGTTGAAGAGACATCCGGTCTACAGTGTCTCACATACTGGAGCTGCAGTAAACACTGGAGGAGGATGCATCTGATGAGCTTGGCCATTTCAATTTTGACCTAATTCGGATACAGTAATGTTGAACAGGATTTGCATGAGGATGTTTATGTACCTGGAGAGTTAGTTTGTAATGTAGCCATTCAGGCATTGGTGAATTGGGGAACATTCAGCTGCACTGAGGCAAACTCTGGTTCAAGGCTCTCCAAAGAGTTTGAAAAGGCTTTGAATTATCAGCAGATGCCTGTTGAAGTGCTGCACATGAAACTATTGTAGGTAGAGAAAAAATTTATCAAAAAATAATAAGCACAGGTGGCTGTGATAAGGTTTAGTCTGTATTTTCAAAAGATTTACAACCTACCATGTTCCAGAAAAGGACATGTGGTAAATGGTACACCAACCATCTCTATCTTTCATTTTTCGTGTCTCCGAAACCTGTGATTCATCAACCCATGTCTGACCAAGAAAAAAGGGGCGGAGGTTGACATTTCCTGCGGCGGCGGCATCCTTGTCAATTCTCCTGTCTCCCTCTTTTGTCTCATCTCTCTCTCTCTCTCTCGCTCTTCCCTCCCTCTACTTTCCCCCAAGGCTGGCCCCAGCATTACTAATGATTCCCAGACAGGAAGCAGAGCTCGCATGAGGGAGTAAAGTAATTTTCCCTCCTTTTGCTTTGTCACTTTCTCCCCTTTGTCGCAGCCTTTCATTGAAACTTTAGAGCCTAGAAAATCAATGAGATACCCGAGGAACGATCACCACCTCAACCAAACTTAACAAATCATTCAAATGTCTGCAGCATGAAGGAAACAAATTTGAGCATTAAGCACCATGGCGTTTTGATTTTAGTAATTCAAATAATGTTGCAATGAAGAAAAAAATACAAGGCAGACACCAACTACCATCCCACCCTGCACCCATCCGCTACCTCCCCCCTCCCATCTGACTCTCCACAGGCCTGCGTCTGACTCTGCAGAGTGTCTGTCAGCAATGAATCACTGGAAGGTATTTACAAGGCCACAGGACATTTAAAACACGTGTGGCCCTTTTAACCCATCAGCAAATGAATGTGAGCTCCCCTCCCACATGGTTGCAAAAACACATCTTCTCAGACTCATGCGCCTGATTGATGACAATGCTAAGATGTAAAAATTTGTAATTTTTATGAGCTCTTCCTTTGGCAGTGGTCTGAGGAGTCAGTGGTCATTATTTTCACTAGATGTCTGATATATCGGGGGATTTTGTGAGTGAGAACATGTACATCTGAAAATATGCATAGACATAGCCAACAAACAACTTCAGAGCCAAAACATTCCTGTAATAGGAGTTTGGCCAAATCTGTCGTGTCTGGAAAATAGCCATCCATGCTCCCATGTCTGCCTGCATGGGAGGATTCTGACTTCAAGTATGCCGAAGACACTCCCTTTGCCCACTACAATCAATATAGTTCCCTTATGCAGCAAAAATAAAAAAGTGTCAGAGCCATAACCATTATTGAAAGATCAGTTTAAGGTCTTTAAAGCATGCCTGATGTTTAGAGCCATAGCATGAGAAAGCCAGCAAGTGGTTAAACCACATTTCAGCTGTTCCATGAGAAGAGCTGTCAGCCTGCCATCAACCTCAGTCCCATTATCAACAGTCTGCACTGCACAGACGTGGACGAACTGCCCAACCTTCTCTCCCTTTCTTCTCTTTCCATCTCCTCCCATTTTAAGCTCTTTCCTTCCATCCTCGGCTTCCCTCCCATAGCTTATGGTATTCCTCTCTTTCTCTGTCTGACCCTAAAAACTTTGGCCAGAAAGATTGACATGTGGAACTTTCTGGTATTCCAGTGAGCGAAGGAGTGGAAAAAACGTTTATGGCTGATATCCATTCAATTCCATTGTTCTATTGCTCTTTTTTGACCCAGAGAGCTGAAGTCCAGATGGAAAAAATGAAGCCCCTTGAGTGCAAATCTGGGCCTTGTCTCCTCCAATGCTTCCGTTCACTCATTCCTGGTCCGAATGCTAAACATCTGCTCGGTTCAACTCAAAATTATGAACTAGTGATACTTTTATTGCTCTGAGTGTATTTTAGTGCAGTGCTTATGCTTCTTTTAGCCTTTATTCTATTCTGAGTTCCACTTTTCTTTCTATTTCGTTTATCTCAGTTTTTCCCTTGTTCAGTTTCCCTCCAGTCCACTCAATGCAATTCAGTGCAGATGAGCCTTATTAGTTTTTTTTTCCCTGCTGGCAAAAAGGATGTAATGAGTTAGCTGGGAGTTGTGTGGTGGCTTGCCGGGAAGCCTTCAGACCTCTCTTTGATAGAGGAAGCTGTACCATTATGGGATTAATGGCTCTCTGCGTTGCCAGGTACAGCTTTTTTTCATCTCCTCTTCAAAGCCTCTCACTTTAAGTTGCCCCTAGCAATTTGGGTCCTGTTCTGCTCCTGTGAAAACACAGCAGCGAACGCCAAAGTGTGCAGAGAGAAGGTTCATACACTGAGAAGTAACAGAGCAGACAGATAAGAGATTGGGGTTAAAGCAGTCTGGTTGCAGTCTCAAATGAACTGCTGAAATGGAACATGTGAGGAGCACCAGAAACAACTTTTCCAATCACAGTCTTGACAAGCAGTAATGGGCTGAATCAACACAAAGAAATCCACATTGTTGTTGCTGTTTTTTTTCCCTGCCCTCATTTCCTTGTAGACAACCCAAACGCCACAGGGAGAGAGAGAAAAAATAATGAAAGGAACAAATTAATGCAACAAAACATAATGTTTTCTCCTGATGTTGGCAAATGAAACAAAAAGAAGAACATTTTCTGCCTTCCCTTCACTCAACAATTCTGATTCTAACACACTCGTGGATCTAACTTGAAGAATGCACTTCTATATGGGTCACATCCAAACAATCAACAAATAAGTGTCCAAACACTGCCACAAAAAAACACATGAAGAAAACTGCAAACTGAAAATGTAAACTGAATAAACTGCTGAAAATATCACATGGCACTCAGTGGTGGATACTTTGGAGATTAATAGTGGGCCAGAAGAATAAGGCTTTTGGCAGAGGAGTGAGGTACCAGCATCAACAGCACCACCACACCCCCTTCCCTAGCCGCTGCTCTTTTCACTGAGCTGTATGCAGATTGGACTGGAAATGATTAAAGGTCTCTCATCACAAAGCCAAAAGTGCTGTGGGAACAAGACCTGGCAACATATCTGGAATATATACACAACACAAACACACACACACACACACACACACACACACACACACACACACACACACACACACACACACACACACACACACACACACACAAGGCTGCAGAGAGAGGCAGAAGCAACATAATGTATGAAGATGTGAAACAAACTTACTCAATCCATTTTACCAAAAAGACAAATGTGCAAAAATAAACAAACACTCATTTCATAAAATAAAATGACATCATCAGCAAATAATGTGACTCTTAAATCATGGATAATATATTTTGTCATGCTTGCATTTATGCAGAAAATCACAATCCAGCAAAAGCTGAGCCACCTTCTCAAAACTTCTCCCTCTCTAAAGATTTGTCCAAAGTGAAACCTAACTCCATATTCCTAACCTCATTTCACCCATTCATATCCCTACTTTTCTCCTCTCCCAGAGTTAAAGGATTAACCTACCTGTTCTCAGTGAAAGCAAGGCAAAGAGAGTAGAAATGGGCGAGATGAGCTTGACTCCCAAAATCCAGTCGAGTGGGGGGATGAGACTGTGGAGTGGCTGCGAGGGCCTATGGGGTAATTGGACTCGGAGCGCGTGCAGCCAAGATCAAGCAGGTGTGCTCTGTCACAACAAGGGGAGGAGAGAGAGAGAGAGAGGGCGAGAGAGGAAGAGAGACAGAGGAGAGAGAGGGGAGAGAGACAGAAGGAGGGAGGGGTCCGACCGCCGAGCTCCTCTCAGGACCGAAACAATTGGTGGAGAACTTCCCCCGTTCTCGCTGCGTGCTCCAAAAAACAGCTGGAAATGGAGAAGGGAGGAAAAAAAAAAAAAAAAAAAAAAAAAAAAAACAAGAGGGAGAGAGAGTGCAGGAAAAAAGGAGACAGAGAGAGGGAACGAAGAGAGAAAAGAAGAAACAAGGAAAGAGAAGAAGAGAAAGAGGCAGTGATTCGGCTGGCAGACACCCTCACTGTGACATCTGGTAATGATAGGTCCTGTGTGGAGCTCAGCTGAGAACTCTGCACACAAACTCTCTCTTTCTCCTTCTTTCACGCTCTCTGTCATTCATCCTCATTCAGGCTCTACACCGACTACCCCCTGGAAAAAAAACAAAAAAAACACAGAACACACACACACACACACACACACACACTTTTTTGTCACTTTCTTAGTCCTTGTGGTCTTTTTTTTAAACCCTATTGCCAGTCCTGGAGCCAGAGAAACCTTCTTGTATGGGCATCTGACTTCCTTGGGCATCCACTTTGTTATTTATTTATTTATTTATTTACCATACGATCATTAATTACAACTATTAATGTGAAACAATGGAAATACTCTAGATGTCAGTAATATTGAAATTCAGAATTGAAGAATTTAGGGATGGATAGATGATTTTTCTTGCTTTTAATTTTGTGAAGCTGCTGCACCTGTTGCATTATGGTCCTTACAAAATTCACAATAATTTTTCGATGTGTAATGGGGGACCCCCGTCCTTTGCGATGGGCCCACCTATCGCCATAAAAGTACTTTGACATTTGATAATTCTTCCAGTTTAGTCACTCAACATAATCTGCCCAGACTGAGGCAGCACAGTGGCTTAAAAGGCTGATGGAAATGTCTTGTCGGTATTTCGTCATCAACCAAAGAATTTTGACAAATTAAAAATTTTATCTGATAGTGGTGATATGTGAAATTCCAGGAAATGACCAAAGTTATTACACTTGACTCCCTGGGGACCATGAATTGGTCTACCAGATATCATGGCAATTCATCCAATAGTTTTCCCGACATTTCACTCAAAAGCACAAATATCAACCTTATGGTGGCGCTGGAGGGAAAGTCTGGGGTTCACCAAAGTTATCGTGATACATCATCTGGGAACCATGAATGAATGTGCCAAATTTTGTGCTCATCCATGAAGTAGATGTTGAGATATTTCACAGGATAAGTGAAATCTTTGACCTGCAACAGTAAAATTATTAGGCCACTACTTCCTGCATTGGCATTGGTAGTTGGACTGGACCTGCCAAAGAAGTATCTAATCAGGGCAACAATGGGGGGCAAGCTTAACATCTGCATTAGCTAATGTCTCGACTAACAGCCATGTGCTCATTTGGTAAAGCGAGATTCTCATCTTCTATCTGCTTCATTGTTGTAATGTACTCTGGGTCATAAAGCCAGCCATCGAACCTTGAATGGAAATGATGATGCCTCTAACAAAGTCTGATATTTCCATACAGTCAGCACTCACTGATGTGTGTCATAAACTGAAGTTATTGCAGGTGCAGTCCCAAGTTGAGATAATGCATTTAGGTGATGTCTCTTGAGGAAGATCTCTTTGAAACATCATTTTTGCAGGAAATGTGATTCTTGAATTCTTTTTAAGGGGAGGTTTAAGGGAGGATAATCAAACACCTGTCACATCTGCATCGGCTGCAGCTGTTACATCCTTTCACATTGTTTCCAATCAAACCCGTGTCTCATCACTTCCCCTCTCGTGTCTTTATTGAAGTCTTGATTTTGATCACTGCCAGGATCAAAAGGACAATCGCTGGATGACTTTTTGCACGGGAAAAAAAAGACAACCTCCCTCAGCTGCTCTCTCCATCTGCCTTCTCTTCATCTTTTGCTCTTTCTCTTCAAGACTACAAAGGATCAGATAGCAGAAGAGCAGGTTTCGTCCTGTCTGGCTTTCCCTCTCTTAACTTGACTATCTTTCCCTGCAGAAGGCAAAGGGCAGACCACACACGGGGAGGCCCCAAATGTGTTGAAATGGTCCATCTTGGTCTCAAGGAGACTGCGTTTTAAAATTCTTGTTCAAAATAATGACCTTAGCTAATGTGCATTTTGTCGCCTGGGGTTCGAGCTGTAATCCATAACAGATTTAAAGAAGCTCGAATTGAGTCCACAGAAGGAAGGAAGGAAAAGAGGAAAACACAAGCATGGAAAGAGGTCAGAGGCCAGGAGGATTACAGCATGATGTGAAGGATTGGATAAAGCCAGGTGTCCAACACAAACTCTGAGATCATACCTGGCGCATTTTTCAATAACGGGGTCGAGAGAGGAGAAAAACCCGTCTGCATCCTTCAGTCTCTGGCAGACGATGGAAAGCAGGCCCCTTATATTAGAGCGGGGAAGCGGTTTTGCCGATGATACGTGGCTGTTGTGGAGACAAGGACGTGTTGTGGAGATCTAACCTGTGACCCTCTGGTAACTGGGTGGCCTCTGTGGAAGAGTTGCAGAGGGAAACTCTGAATCCTAAAAATGATGTTTGACCTTCCTCAGAAAAACCAAAGCAGAATATTTTAATGGGGAATCAAAAGGGTGTCATATTACAGACATATTGGTAAAGATACACTGACACCTTTGTGCTCAGGTGTTAATATCCCACTGCAGAGACAGAAGACGAAGAGAAAGAGAAAGTTTCAAAAGGACAGTAAAGGGTCGGATAGGATCAAGAGGCGAAAAGAAGCTTAGGGATGTCAAACCAAGAGAAAGAGTTATAAAGAGAGCGGTGTCAAAGAAATCTACTTTTTTAAAAGTGGGATTTCAGGTATAGCCTCAAGTTTTCTGTGTTTGTCCAGAGGAGAGAATGAAGAAGCGAGGGGAATTGAGCAGGGTTTTACAGGTATTATTACCTTTTCTTATAAGGAACCAGCTCTCAAGGAGAGGTTGAAGGGTCCCTATCAAGTTGTGACCTTGGTATCTTTACATTTTGCTGTGAACCACAGAGGATTTGCCAAAAGCGAAAGGGCAGTTCAGTGATCTCCATGTTGACAGTTGTGATGATGGGAGCAGTGAAAGAAGGTCCATAATCCTTGAACTTGCCTTAAGGAAGCTACGAGGATTGATGTGTACACTTCATCTCAGGAGGATAAGATCTGAAATAAAGTTTTACAGGAAAGAAAAATTTATGAACAGGATTTTAGACACTTTGTGTGTTTGTTTGGTTATATTGCTGACACAGCTTTTTATTAGTTCCTATGTGAAGAAGTGACGTATACATATTGAGACATATTGGGATTTCTTTAAGTTGCTTTGCCTGTGTGGACGTGTTGAATAGTGGCACAAACCTGCACCTCATTGCCCCATCACTCAACATTCAAACACACATACATAATTTTCTGGAAAGAGCTGTAGGCTGTATGTACGCTCTGTTTCACCTCAATATACCTAGTGGTCTCTCTATTACCTGGCACTCTGCCTACCATTGATACAGCTTTTTTTCCTTCAAGAAGAATCTGTCTGGAATATTTCCCCCCCCATTTGTCTTTATTAAATCTCACATTTTCCAAGTCATACCATTTAAAACACCACCATACCATTCTCTCACACACCCTGTCTCTGCTGTGTAATACAAATAATAGGGCAGAAACAAAATCATTTTAGGCCCATTAAAGTCAGTCAGTGACAGCCTAAAGTGACAGGATGTATGAGAATGTTAATGAGAAGACAACATGTAAAAAGGCTATTATGGGTTACATCTTTAGGTCTGGGCAGGTTTGATGATGGAAGCTAGACGACGGGTGTGGTTCAGATTAGAGACGTAGCCACAGGGCACGTTTAGATGAACAACTTGTTTAAACACCTTGTCCTATTTTGGTATTTCATTTTTATTCATTATTAGAATTAAAGTAATTTTCCCAATATAACAGAAAGACAGCAGTTTTTTTCATAAAGAGTATAAAGAGAAATCGGTGCCTTTCTCAAGAGTAGTTTGATGGCAGCTGCTGGGTGGAGGGAAGGCTAGTCACCCACATGTTGTTCTTAGATTATATTAGCTGTTTGTGGACGTAAACTGGTGGCATTTACATCTGTTAACATGACAGCAGTGCAACCCGCAGAGTCACCAACTCTGGAAAAAAAATAAAGCCTTCGTCATGTTCTCATATACCGAGAGTGACCCTGCCTGTCGTTTGTGGTCAGCTAGACGGCTAACTCTACTTTGCCATAACAAGCTAAAATGATGTTTCATTTACAGAGTCAGTGCAGGAGAAGCTTTGAAGTGGCTTGAGTTACCAGTGAAAGGGGATATGATGGACTCCGAATTGCTGCATGTGTATAACTGTATAGCCAGATGGAGCATGATGGAGTCTCCACTTACAAAGTTTGCTTCAATTAGTTGCATTTTTCTGAAAAATGCCACAAAATTAGCATTTAACGTGATTTGTAAATATAATCCTTCCTATATCTTCAATAGACATCCCAACAAAATACCTACAGCACCTTTATCCTGCATTATAGCTCTATAGTAAACATGCACATTGGTAACATTCCTCTACAAAGACAGTTTTGTTTGTCTGTTATGTGCTCGTCATTCTCATCGACAAACCAACGGAAGCCTTTAAAGTAGCAGAAGGATAGTCTACACAAATCCCATTCCAGACTCTAAGTAATGTAGCAGCAGTGAGGTGGAGGAGCTCTGTCATTCCCATCTCTGACTGGAGGATCTCAGCCGTGATGGACAAAACAGACCCTCTCACACACATACACACACACACACACACACACACACACACACACACACACACACACACACACACACACACACACACACACACACACACACACACACACACAAATGCAGAGCAGAGGCACCAGTGATGGCAGTGACAGGCTGACAATCGGGTTCTGGGCCAGTGGTACTGTGGGAAATGACCTTGTTTGGACCAATCAAAGTGAGACTGTGTGTTGATACTTCATTCATATGATAATTGCTCTGGAGGAATCCCGTCAGTTTG